GTGTAACTGCATTGTTATGTTACCAAGGGTTCGATTCCCAGCGGTGCCCGAATTTATAACTTGTGTTGGGCAAGGCCGTGGTCTAGCCAACACGGAGTTTTCCTCCGTGGCATCCCAACAATTACTCCATTCACACACAGAAGAAGGCAATGGCAAACCACTTCTGGATCATCTGCCAAGAACGTATATGAACAGGTCCCAGTCCGAAAAAAGGATGGAAGGATCCTGTTCATATGGACCTGTCGTCAGACAGAACACTAAAAAAAAAAAATCTCGTAGTTATTCAACAAAATTCCCGCCTGTTATGCAACTATAATATCCATTATCGTATTCACTAGTGTCACCATCGGAGCATACAATAAGCCAGTTGGACGTAGCACATAGACCTTACTGCTCGTTTGAGGTCCGTTTTAATATAATAGACTTTCATGCATTTCTGTAGAACTTAGATAACTTGTCTTCGCGTGCTTCCCTGGGTTGATCCAATTCTGGGAACGACATAAGGTATTTAGTTCTGAATATGATAATTTTAATGTGAATTGTTAGTTGTGTACACCTCAGATTCTCCTGAACTGTGGTTCCACTGTCAATTTTTTTCTAGAAAAAGCGTTCAGTCTTGTAATTATTCCAGACACAATACCTTTCAAATTTATTGCGTAACAAATTCCTTAATCCTATCCCCAGTTAATGTTCCGCGGACTTCCTTCACGGGTGGATTAACGTAGAAAGAATTATAAGAGGTCCTAGCCCATTGCCGCCCCGGTTCATACAGCACCAAGACGCTTTTATAGACGTCATTCGGTCGATGGAACTTCAAGCTGACGTCAGAGAACACCGCTAAAGTGACGCTCACTTTCGCGTAACGTTTAGGTTCTCTGCCAGAGGGCCGCGTGTTTTCCTCAGTCGCTGCTGGCAAATGCTGTGATAGTACCTCAAATAGGACACGACCGCTTCCTTCCACATCCTTTAAAATTATTAATTTTTCAACAAGTTTGAGAAAATTTGTGCACAACGTGGCACAGAATCTTGGCCGATTACCGGTTATATTATATGACATTGTGGACTGGCTCGAGGTAAGGGTCGTTGGCGAGACTTTGTGAATACTGTAATGGCCCAAAACTTTCATAAAAGTTACATAAAAGGCGTAGAATTTCTTTACCAGCTTATCAGCAAAGATTCTGATTCTTGAAAACTTCGGCTGCTCTGAAGTTATGCTTCACGGCAGTGCACAGGTCTGTAAAGAAAATGAAAGATCTCGATAAATAACGCATTTTCTTTGTACGCCTCAGGTATTCTGTGTTTCCATGTGAGGGGAAACTTCGAACATTTTAAATTGTCATCTTATTTAATGACGCCATTTCAACTAGCGTGTGTGTGTGAGCTGTGGCATGTTTCAAGGCATTTGTCTGGATATACTGAGGAAAACAACGAACAGGCTAAGTGTAGGTGGATGTAACCCAGTCCAGTCATGGACGTTTCGTGGCTTTCAGCGCGAAGTAATTTGCCTCGCGAACCTAAACTCATTCCGCCTGTGCTCCGTGTCCATTTGATTTTTTTTTCTGGAGTTGGGAAAGTGAACGGGCAGCGGTGAGTAGAACCACAAAAACGAGACTCGGTGTCCTTGGAAGAACACTGTACAGCTCCAAAGATGGCCTAAAACTTCATTTCGTATCGCCAGTACACTCGTCAGATAAGACATTTCCTTCCCAAGAGGAACCGCAATTTCTCATAACAACAAATTTGAGGCTAAAGTTGCGCACAGCATCTGTTAACCCTTTGAAGCCGAAGATCGTCTGAATATTATTTATGAATTCAGTCCGTACCGCGAAGAAAACACTACACCTCACCATTACGAAAATCAGCTGGTTAACCCTTTGAAGCCGAAGATCGTCTGAATATTATTTATGAATTCAGTCCGTACCGCGAAGAAAACACTACACCTCACCATTACGAAAATCAGCTGGTTAACCCTTTGAAGCCGAAGCTCGTCTGAATATTATTTACGAATCCAGACCGTACCGCGAAGAAAACACTTCACTTAACCATTAGAAGTCAAATCAGGCGGTACCACATAAGATTTAACAAAAGAACATCCCGGTCAAAGCCTTAAACAGCAACGAATAAATCTTGGATCTTTATTAACCTCGTCTCATGTATTTTTATTTATTCATAGATGTCGAACAGTAAATTTATAATTTACGTCGATATGAAGGCCTTTGGCCACACTAAACTGACATATTTGAAAGATAAATATGAGGAGGTTATTAGAGCAAAGTACAGTACAGATGTTATTCGTCGCTGTGTGAAATCCTTAGCTTTGTTTCATTTCATCTTTTTCGGCACGTGGAAGACGCTGTGCTGCCGATGGTAGTGCCTTCCAGGCCCTTTGTTGGTTGTTTACCGACGGTTTTTCGTAAGGAAATGTCTGAACTCAGCCAACATTCTTGATCACTGATCGTGAATATGCATTTTGTGAAATGATCCTGTCAACGGAAGAGGATTTATTATTTATTTAGTGTTCTGTCTGAGGACAGGTCCATATGAACAGGATCCTTCCATCCTTTTCTCGGACTGGGACCTGTTCATATACGTTCTTGGCAGAGATGATCCAGAAGTGGTTTGCCATTGCCTTCTTCTGTGTGTGAATGGAGTAATTGTTGGGAAGCCACGGAGGAAAACTCCGTGTTGCCTAGACCACGGCCTTATAAATTCTGGCACCGCCGGGAATCGAACCCGAGACCCCAGGATTACTAGGCCAGCGTTCTAACCGCTAGACCACCGTGGCAGGTTCCAGAAACGTAGCAACTAATATTCTCCAGCTGGGATGATGCGAACACCAGAACCTAATCAGAGGCGATCACAGAGGCTAATTATAACGGATCAATGGACTAATCAAACAGAAAGAGAGGGAATCGATTGATAAATGAAAGGGGGGAATTTCACATGAGAAGTTCAAAGAAGGCAAAGTGAAACGACTGCTCTGACCCTCTGATTAGATAAGAAACTGAATAACTATCCAGCTAGCTGACTAATTAATTAACTGGCTAATTTGTCAGATCGTCGGTTGAGTCTTGCGTGAGGCTTCGACAGCTGACCGGTTCATAATGACGTCACTACTGAACAGTAGTAGATTCGGATGCGGGCAGCGATCTGATAATGCAGGTTAGAATTAACTGTTCTGAGGAGCCCATAAATCTCAATGTCGATAGTAACACAAACCTGTCTAACAGTTCGCAATTGTTTAAAAACTAACAACTAACACAATTTGTTCAGTGACATCCACATCGAAACATTTTCCTCGGGCTCTCCCTACCTTGTTGTTTAATATTTGTCATGATTCTCTGAATTTATTAGGAGGTTATTAACCTTTTGAAGCCGAAGATCGTCTGAATATTATTTATGAATTCAGTCCGTACCGCGAAGAAAACACTACACCTCACCATTACGAAAATCAGCTGGTTAACCCTTTGAAGCCGAAGCTCGTCTTCGTAATATTTACGAATCCAGACCGTACCGCGAAGAAAACACTTCACTTAACCATTAGAAGTCGAATCAGGCGGTACCACATAAGATTTAACAAAAGAACATTCCGGTCGAAGCCGAGTCTCTCCAGTGTGAGTTGACGTGAACGTGCTGTTTGCGTTTTATTTCACGTTTTATCTGGCAAAGAGTGTTGTCGGCAGATCTTGGCGTCTGTCACGTGTCGAAAGGAAACAAAGCGGCAGATCGTCGGTGACGTATAACCGTCGCTAATCTGTCTCGAATGCTCCGTCAAGGTCGCGTTAAACAGAAGGCCCTCCTGTAATACTGGAATGATTGAGTATTTATTAAGCAAATGTCTTCCAGTTCTTGATGTGCGGGATGCATCGCCGGTGTAGGGAGCCACAAGCAACCAATCCTTTCGGGTAGAGAATACATCGAGTGTCACTTGTTCTTGTAGCGACTCTGACCACGAACCAAGTTTTCCTTTTAATGAATTGTTATATGTACAGTCTCTTGGTTTAACGAGCTATTGCTTAGAGTGGAACACACATGCATACTGCTTGAAACAAAACACTGACTCCTTTAGAGTCAAGACTTATCGTCGATAAAAGGAGCGTGTTCTGTCACGTGACTTAAAGGGAGAGGAACACTTCGACTATTATCGATATCCGGTTTTGCTGTTCTATCGAAGTGCGTAGCTCTGTGGTCTTTAATGGAGCATTAAATGTCTTATAAAAAGATTTCTCTTAACGAAAGACTCGAGGATTGCGTCATTTCTGTGGAAAGAGCATTTGTGTTGTGGTAAGAGTTGCCTCTGGTACGCAACTGCTAACAGGGTAAATCCGGCTGTGTCTGCTCCGAACTGGAAAAGATGTTTTGATATTTCTTTTGTGTCACACGTCATTGCCTGACTCAGCTTCAGGTGTTACCTTTGTGTGGTCAAGGTATCGAATAGAAACGTTTGAAACGTCACTTGGATTCAGTGGAAAAGTCCGTTGTCCCGAGATTTTGAAAACTGAAATAAAAGCGGGATTTTGTCTCATAAACGAAAAGGAAGAATACGGGTTATCGTGGAAACACGTGAAGTGCTTTGGAGGATGGAACATACAAAGAAGACTCTTAATTCTGCCTTTATTTTATGTAATGGCACAGACATCGTACGAATGCGATAAGATATAGCGTTTAAGGAAAACATGTCTGATTACGTAAACTCGTGTCTCGCTACGCGTAAACACCCGACTAACTTGGCGAGACCAAGCCCTGATGATGGAAGCAGTAATAACCTCAGAAACGCTTGTCAATTTGTAGTAGACCACACTGCGCAACATCCCAGAAGACGAAGTTATTTCCTCATTATGTAATTGTATATATTTTACAGTTTCTTTGTCTTTCGTATAACCATGTTTTATAATGTTTTATAATCAGCGCTTTGACCACAAACATTCTCGGTAAATATTTGGACTGCGTCAGATTTGTAACCGGAACTATCCGTACAGTTCTGTCCGTATTGTTTGCAGCACAATGCCCTCCGACAGCATGGACGACATTGAGCTGAAGAACATCCAACTCCAGTTTCCGACGGCGAGGACGTTGTCCAGGGATGACTCCAGTGTTTTCGAGGAGCGCGTCGAGACTGGAAAAGGGAGCGTTTTGGTAGCGGTGCAGGGCAACCGGTCAAAGCCTGCTATCCTCACCTACCATGATCTCGGCCTCAACTGTGAGTATAATTAATTAAATCTGATAGACGACGTTTAGAGGTGACTGTCGTAATGGGGGTGGGGGGGTTGCGTTCCTGCGTATGTCGAAAACGCTTAAAACGGGGAACGTGCAATATGCCCGTGGATTTTTCTGTGTGATGCCGGTAGAGGAACGTAATTTGTGGTCCCCGGAGTCAAAATGGCGGAGAGTCAGTGAAACTGCGCGCGCACCAGCGGCTTATATATGACGAAATTCACAAACAGATGAATGTTCTCTGCTCTGGAAAATTGATTAATTCATTTGCACGAGCGTTACTAGGCTGTCATGTCTTGTCATTAACATGTTTCAGTAATTAATTAACGTTATTTTTAGCCTATATAATAGGCTCAACGCGTCTGCATAAAAAAAACAAATGACAGTGCGAGGCGAGGCGAAGATGGGAATTGTGATGGAAAAATGATGATTATTGTCATCACTGTCATCATTGACCTTTATTGTAACTTCCGTCACTTTGTGGTTGACTGTAACCATTGCCTTGACAGCTGATACGTGATACGTAAAGCCACAGAACGTATACTCGTCGTTTCGCAAAAGATTTCGTAAGCGAGGAGGTGAGTCACGTGTTTGATGAACATTATACCGACTGTCTTATTTTACTTTTAACAGATATTTCGAGTTTCCAGGCGTTTTTCAACTACATTGATATGAGGGCTTTGCTGGAGAACTTCTGTGTCTACCATGTCAACGCACCCGGTCAGGAAGAAGGCGCTCCTGCCCTGCCAGACGAGTGAGTTGCCACTGTGTCTTCTGAAATTAAGATTAAGGGAGAACTCGGCTGTCGGTTTAATATCTCTAACTCAAGAGGATTATGTGAATTTTCAAACGGAAAATTTCACACAGGAAACCAGAATAATCACAGAGCGAAATAAGTCGAGTTGAAACTGACGATCTAATAATGTGGAAAATGAGGAAGTTTCTATACAAATCTGGCTTCTGACATTTCATATCAAGGACGGAAAGACGTACATTCCAAAATAATTGTTTAAAATGGCGATAATTTTTTGTTTTTGTGTAAACGAAATTCGTGCACAGGAGTTAAATAGCATGTAATCGGTACCCTAAGTGCACAGACTTCCGAATTATTTCCCACTTCCAGGAGCACGTGTACTTTTGAATCGCCCTGTACAAACTGAATTTTGCGTGCCACACACCAGGTTCCCGCTTCAGTCGTCATTGCAGCTGTGGGGAGTGTCTTTAAAGAACCCCCCTGCTCCCCGAACACGGCCAGTGCATGCTTACATCGCGTGCCAACTAGCAGTTACCCCAACACGTTTTACTTCACTGACCTTGTGCCAAAATAAAACCCTGCATTTCGTAAAAAAACGAGGTTCGGTTATCGTTCAAGGTCCTACTGCCTCGCCTTGCGGGAGGACGATGTTTACGCGTGCGATGAAGTAATTAAGGCTTTGGCCGGGATGTTCTTTTGTTAAATCTTATGTGGTACCGCCTGATTCGACTTCTAATGGTTAAGTGAAGTGTTTTCTTCGCGGTACGGTCTGGATTCGTAAATAAAATAAGAAGACGACTACGCAGTGAACTGTACATGGGGTGAGATTTAATCTGTGCCCGGGTGAGTGAAGTCGATAATAATTTTTGATCAGACTGCCCGAAAACCCATACATAACCTATTTCAATGCTTCATGTTTATTAAGGTTTTGACCGGGATGTTCTTTTGTTAAATCTTATGTGGTACCGCCTGATTTGACTTCTAATGGTTAAGTGAAGTGTTTTCTTCGCGGTACGGTCTGGATTCGTAAGTCTCTCTCTCTCGTGCTTCGGCTTCAAAGGGTTAACCAGCTGATTTTCGTAATGGTGAGGTGTAGTGTTTTCTTCGCGGTACGGACTGAATTCATAAATAATATTCATACGATCTACGACTTCAAAGGGTTAGAATGATTTTGCCTTGACTTTCCGAATGTAACATTGTGAGAATCGCCCAACGGGTTCCTGTGGTCTTTGACAATCGATTTTTCAAAGAATTTCCTGCGCCATTGAGTGAGTTCCACGAACATTTGAAACTGTCTCGCCAGGACTTTTGGTCTCGTTGGCCACCCACCATTTGATATGCGAGAGAATATGAAGAAACCTCTGGAAAATATACTGACATGGCGGCAAACCCGGTGCCTCTGCGGTGAGAAACCGGTGACTAACCGCCTGATCTACGGCACGGCCTTTCATGAATTTGGTACTTTTCCTCTCTGTATTCCTCTGCCTCGTTTAGTTTTCCCGGAATTGCAGTTAAAGTCGGAAGACAGTAATTAGACTGGTTCTGTTTCGTAAACCAGTTTGTTTTTCGTAGTTTCTCACAGCTCGCATGCTGTTCTTGATCAGATGACAGGAAATTATGTTCCGAGGAATATAATTTGGTGTGAGCCCCGCTCTGTTTTGGCATTGTCAGATTTCAGTGTCAGCAACTTTGTACTTCCGCCCTGTAACAGCTGATAGGTTTGATGCTGCCATCTGTCGGCCAAATAATAGAGCGCGTGCATTTATGTTTTCAAATTTAGTTTACGTGGTGAAGGAAAATATGATAATGAGCTTGTAATTTTTTACGCTGACACAAGATATCTACTGCTGTTTTATACATTTCAATTATAGTTGAAATGTGTTATGTGAAATTCACGTTTGCTTGTGCTTGTTGGAAAATGGAGGAATGTAAAATATATCTTACGCTAAAGCCCGGAATTATTTAAAGTACGTTGTTGTGACGCCGCTATCTGAGCGGACTTTCGTACACACGGAGTTTGGTGTCCCCGGAATAGGCTTACAGTTCAGTGAACGTTTTGTTGAAACAATAATTGTCGACGCCAAAATAATTTGATATCGAAAGGAAATGTTTAGTTTTGGACATGTATCGAAACTTTTGATGATACTAATATTAAAAAAAACATTATCCGTTGTCTTCTGGTCAATGTTTTTGGAAGTTCGTGAATGCAAGCGCGTTTGTTACCGTCCAAAATTGCGTATTGTCTCAACATGCTTAAACTTTGTTTAACGACGCTATTTTATTATCTCAGACTATATATCGTCGAATGAGAAGATTATAATGAACATTAAACTGGAGGAATATGAAAGGAAGCGGTCATGGCCTATTTTAAGGTACTATTCCGGCATTTGCTTGTAGGGACTGAGGAAAACCACGTAAACACCACCGCTCCCCCGGCAGGATAGCCGGTCTCCGGGCCGAGATTTGAGCCTGGGACCTCCCGAATACGAAGCAGGAAAGTTAAACATTCGACCGCGATGTATTTTTCTCCGCCTTCGTGTTACGTAATTCGAAGTTAATCGAGTGGTGCGACCCGGAGGCGTAAATCGAACCGATTCAGATGCAAGTGGAATTCGCTGGGTTGGTCTCCCCCCGTGCAATCCAGATTTATGTGGTCGGATTAACAGACGTGGTCTCCCCGTGTTAGGCGCTTCGCAAAAATAAATTCATGACCCTAAATAAGGCAGACAACCTGTCTGGGTCAACCACACACACCAGCAAGGTTGATATAGCGCGAATACTCCATATTTTGTATTCCGGTTGTACCAGTTTCGAATCTTGGAAGGTTACTGACAGTCTGAGGTTTTTAACAATAATTAACTAACAAGGTGACCAAGCCTAAAACCCCGTCATTAGACACGATCCTGAGACGATTCTTCAAATGTCACTTGTGTTAGATCGTTCCAAAGAATTGTTCTATATCCACGGCTTTGTAAAAGTTTCGGAACACAAGAACAATTACGACAGGGATTTGTTGATCCTACGCCCAACCCCCACTCTGAGCATCGCCCACTTTCTGCTGTCTGCCTTGTAAGTTGTAGATCGGATCTCAGTTATAATCCGGCCGACATAAAAGCGAACTGAGATGAACGGCTTATCCCTGTAAGTTCAATCAAGCGTATTTTAAAATCTTATTTTGGGTTTCATTTAACGTAGTGAATCTGGTTTACCGATAGTATTTTGATCCTAACTTGTATTATGAAACACTAGTGTCAAAAGGCCATCAGACTGTTGGCATGACGACGAAATTAATGAGCTTTTTTTATTTCATACGAAAGTGCTGTAAAATGGAACAGCTTCGTCACTGTCACGTGACACTGGGCGTGAATATTGCGCAGAGGCCCCGATAGAGTTCGCATAATTTTAAGTGTCCTTCATATTAACGTGGAGAGGTGTCGTTAGCATCCATACAAGTCCAGCCACAAGACGCCATAACTACGCAGAATTGTTTGTTTACAATGGCTTCTCGCGATATTTCACGTGATGTGTGCAGACTAGAAGAGAATGAACATCCTTTGTCACGTGTGTCGTATAACCAGATCCGGTCTGACAGGATGTAAAGAAGAGCGGAAGCAGGTAGTTTTGCCAAATGCGTAGTTCGTAAATTTGAATTATTCTGTGCTTTTGATGTTCCACGTCTCGTAGATGGTCTCTTCCCCTCAGTTGATTTGGTGAAGAGTAGGATTACAGAATAGTTTTCTCTGCCCTCCTGGCATTAGACCCCGTGTCCTTACGATGCTTTCGCACAATGGCAGGAAGTGTTGTGCCCCTTATATGGGTGTGGTCATTGCACTGGAAATCTTTTCATACTCATGTTCAGGAAGACATTGTGGTACCAGATTCATTCTGAAGGCAGCGACGCAACTTGTTAGAGAAACGATCTGTTACGTCCTGTCAGAATGGTTGTTTTCCATTACTCATACTAGTAAAATTTTCGTCATCTCATTTCAAGACAGACGTATGACAGTTTGTTCCACGAAAGATGTATTTCAGTATTCGGTGTCTGCTGCTAGTTGCAGGTGCAATTAGCCAATACCTGCAACCTTCACGTATTCACTACCCAAGTTAAAGTGGACAGATACTGGACAAAGCTTGGTAGTTCGTTTTGTAATATGCCTGTTTGCGGTGGGGAGTGTCGTTTGCCTCCCACCGAACCTCCAAGCTGAAGGAGGATCACTCCTTGCCATCCACCGCTTATTCGATGTATCTGAAGTTACTGTCCATGTCTGGAGGTCTTGTCCTCCATCTGTAACTTGAGGGCGTGACATGCCATGTAGTCGGTGTGTATGAACGTGGTAATGAACCTTCAAGGCGTCATAAAAGGCAGAACATTTTTGACGTAAATACGTCTATATTTTAGGGTCAGTGTCATTCGGCAAACATGTTACGAAATAGTGTTCCGAAAAAGGGAAACGAAAAAGTATAACTTCATTGTTATGTTACCTTGGAAACGTCATCTGTTTATCAACAAATAAACAACAATGGTTACCTACATAGTTACATTTAGCTACATTTACATTTGGTCTAGCGGTTAGAACGCTGGCCTTGTAATCCTGGGGTCTCGGGTTCGATTCCCGGCGGTGCCCGAATTTATAACTTGTGTTGGGCAAGGCCGTGGTCTAGGCAAAACGGAGTTTTCCTCCGTGGCATCCCAACAATTACTCCATTCACACACACAGAAGAAGGCAATGGCAAACCACTGCTGGATCATCTGCCAAGAACGTATATGAACAGATCCCAGTCCGAGAAAAGGATGGAAGAATCCTGTTCATATGGACCTGTCGTCAGACAGAACACTAAAAAAAAAAATGTTATACCGTCGTTCGACGTCGGAACGTTTTTCTCTGCTAGCATACAGTCAGCCTCTCAAAAACGTCTACTCCACGGAACTAGTTGGCATGTTAGTCGACGTTTCACGCGTCATATTAAAATATTTTCAAAGGAATATTTTGCACTGCAGTTATAATGAAATTTGCCTGTTGTCTGATGCCTATTTAGTATTCATATTTTGGGAGTTTACTGCAATTCTGTCTTCGTGTTACTGGTTGTTACACTCCCACCTCAGTCATTTGCGGCTGGAGTTGAAGTTGAACGGTTTGTCACTTCAGTCCTGAACGCTGCCATTAGTAGACCGAAGATGATAATGACAGCCAGTCACATAAAATCTGTATAAAAAGTAACCCCCAAAACGGCATTTACATTAAGTATGTTTCGTATGTCGAATAATGCGTGACGTAATTGCGGTGTAATGAACGAACCATTGCCACGACCATTTAAGAAATCATGGAATTTTGGATATTCTTGGAAAATATATGTGCTTCGTTAGGTTTCGCCTCTCCACACTTGTGTCGTGACTCATTCCTGTCACAAACTGTGTGGCCCGAGTGAGACATAGGATGAAACAGACCTTATTTGTGCAGGTATACCAACATAATTAACAATAGGAAGATTATTGTCTTGCTAATCACATCGTTAGTCTTTGTCGCTCCTGTGGGCGTGTTTAAGTACGTCCTGTAGCCGCAACTCACGTTACATCTACTGTTAAGTGAAATACTAATGTTATCTGTACTCCTCAGGTATTATTCCCACAAATATCTCCCTAGCGTCAGTGCCAGAATGTGCCTATGAAAGTGTACGATGAGATTTCTCAACAGCTATTCTGAGACTGTAGCTAAAGGTCCTTGTGATTTTAATTTCAATTTAATTCCTGTACAAAACGTATAAGAGACCAGAAATAGTGAATTTATCTGCATGTGGATGGCTTGAACTGGTTGATGAGAGTGGGGAAATTGAACTTAAAAACGTAAGTTACTGCTGAGGTCTAGAGTAACTAATAATGTCAAAAGTTCAAATATTATATTGCAGGTGTCATAGTAGGTGAAGTTTTGGAATTCGTTTTTGCTAGATTTACGTTGCTTGTCTTCAAAGCCATGTCGTGGTCCACCCTTTTTTTTCATGCCTCAAAAGTGTCGTATTCGACGTTCTTGATGTAAGTTTAAATATAAAAGCTGTGAAGTGAGAAAAGAATTATTAGATTCCATGACCTAGTTTGCTATCGCCTCCAAAATGTATACCTTGTGAATATAGTGATGTGGCCTGCGCGCTATGTTCTATGTTGGTACGGAATTTGTAGTGTGCTTGTATTACGTTGGAACTTAAATTCTGCCTTTAGAACATTCGAAGGTTTGTAGTGAAAGCATGAAATGAATACTGTTTTGTCTTGCCCACAGTTATGTCTACCCCACAATGGATGAGATGGCAGAGCAGATCAGCTTCGTCATGTCACATTTTGTCCTCAAGAATGTCATTGGTTTTGGTGTAGGTGCTGGCGCCAACGTGCTGGCAAGATTTGCCCTGACACACCCGGAAAAGGTAGAATAACCGAGAGTTCCAGAAATAAACATTTATGTTGCACTGGAATCTGCGTTCTGAACTACATTAAGACATATCCAGAGATCGGGTGATGGTCACCTTCTCCAAAACTAGTTCCACAGTTTCCCATACTTACAGACTCGCAGGCCTCAAGGTTATATACAGGGTGAGCCAGAAGTATGTTTACAAACTTTGTGTGCATGTTCCAGGATCAAAAATTAGGAAAAAAAATGTTCCTATGAACATGGGGTCGCAAATGTTTCATTTTCAAAATAATAGCCAAAAATTAGTTTCAATGAGTTGACGTTATATCAAAGTGAATCCAACTTCCAGCAAATATCTTCAATTCAATTAACGTTTGGTCAGGAATTGATGGTGACATGCTTATTGGTCCACACATGCTTCCATCACGTCTAAGAGGACCTTCATATCGGCGATTCTTAAGAAGACACTTGCCACGTCTCCTTGAAGATGTACCATTGAATACAAGAAGACAAATGTGGTTTATGCACGACAGAGCCCCAGCACACTTCTCCCGTCGTGTCATATATAATCTCAATGAACAGTACCCTCAGCGATGGATTGGGCGTGGTGGCCCAGTAGCATGGCCAACGAGGTCACCGGACCTGATTCCATTGGACTTTTATCTGTGGGGTCACTTGAAGTCCGTCGTTTATGCAACACCCATAAACAATGATGACGTCCTATGGGAACGTGTGCAGAATGCATGCCAGATGATTCGAGGAAACCCTGGTGTGTACAAATCCATCAGTCTTGTGTACGTCTTGTGTACGTCGTGCTTGGGAAAGTGTGGAGAATGGAGAGGCAAACTTTGAGCAACTGTTATAAAGAAACATCCCTGTCCTTATACTTGGAAAAAAAGGCATTCAATGAAACTTATTTTTGGCTCTTATTTTGAAAATGAAACATTTGCGACCCCATGTTCATAGGAACATTTTTTTTCTAATTTTTGATCCTGGAACACGTACACGAAGTTTGTAAACATACTTCTGACTCATCCTGTGTATAGATAAGGAAGACTTTCTGAAACTTCATTGCAGTTTGTTGAAGGTACTACTAACTTACTATTTCAAACATGTTTACATATTACTCAGTAATTACCTTCGACAAAATCAGACATCAGTGAGACTTTTGACGCCGAATTTGCTTTATTATTAGTCTTTTAAGGTCACATGAGATTTCACATTTTCATGGCGATGAGTACGTGAAGAGGGCTGTCTCCTAGAATGTACCACTATACGGGCTCGTAGATAACTGACACTTCAAAGGAGCTTACTGCCTCCGTCATTACCCTGATGGTGGATGCAGTAAGCTCCTCCGAAACATTGGTCGATATCTACCAGACTGTGCAGTTTTTCATCTCAAAAGACAGATATTTTCAGTGTCATGTCTAATTCCTCTTCTGTGATTCGCGTGTATGCGTCTGAATTTGTGATGTTACGAAATGTACGACATTTACAGATCAGTTCACAGGTTCTCACACTTATGTTTTATTTTAATAGGTGGAAGCTTTGTGTCTTATCAACTGCGTTTCGACTCAAGCCGGCTGGATTGAGTGGGGTTACCAAAAACTGAACGCGAGGCATCTCAGGAACAAAGGCATGACTCAGGCCGTGTTGGACTACCTCATGTGGCATCATTTTGGTCGGGTAAATATACCAGTTCTGAGATCGTACGTTGCGTTCAAGCAAGATCCTGGATAGTAATTTGTGTACGGTCGAGTACTTGGCGATCGACGTGGCGGTGTATTCTTATTCAGAAATACAGTGTGTCCACAAAGTCCCTTCGGGGTTTTGAAAAATTGTGGAGCGCAAACAAATTGAGCTAGCCACATGCGGTTTGCGACAGATTACAGTGGAACTCTGGAAGTTTTTTGCTGACCTCAGTAGACCTCGATGTGGGCTCCCTTGGTAGCACGGAGAACGTCCAGACGATATTCAAGCTCTTGCCATGTTCTGTGGAGCGTGTCCGCTGGAATAGCCGAGATCGCATTCCTGATACACGTCTTCAGGTCATCAACTGGTGTTCGGAACACATTTCTCTTGACATGACCCCACAGGAAAAAATCCAGTGGTGTTACGTCTGGTGAACGTGGAAGCCAAGGCATTGGACCGTCTCTGCTGATCCATCTTCCTGGAAATGTCCTGTCTAGGTACGCGCGTACCTGCAGATCCCAATGAGGTGGAGCACCGTCTTCCAGAGTTTCACTGTAATCTGCCGCAAACCACATGTGGCTAGCTCAATTTGTTTGCGCGCCACAATTTATCAAAATCCCCGAAGGGACTTTGTGGACACACTGTAGTTTTCTGTAGCGTAAAGTTGATGATTCTTATTTTACTGCGTTTCACAGTGTAGGCAGTACCGACTCTTAATTTTCACTGAACCAGACGTCTCTTTCTTGGGTGCCATAAACTTCTTTGTCCCATAGATTTGTAACACCGTACATGTTTAGACGTACTTTCATTTATAAGATATGTAATTACTGCGGAACTCTGTGTGTGTGTTGTTGTTGTTTTTGTGTGTGTGTGTGAAAACAGCAGGTATAAAAATTCATTGAAAATTTGTGACGATGGCGGAAGTGAAAAACACCTTATTTTCATATCGATAGACATCAGAATGGATTTAAACTGACTCTTATCATATTGCCTGCTGACTAACTGATTAACAAACTCCATGGGGCAAAGTCCTTCATGAGAAGCTCATAGTCATTCCGCTAGTCAAGAAATTCCCCATCTTTCATGTAACCCAAGGGTTCATTAACACGTTTACCAACCGATATGTTGTCTTTAACACGTGTAATACTTGTGGTGCCACATGTTGTACAGGGAACAGAGGATAGAAACCATGATCTGGTTCAAGTGTACAAGACGTACTTCGAACGTCACGTGAATCCCACCAACCTGGCACTCTTCATCGACAGCTACGTCAGACGAACAGATCTCAACATTGTTCGCGAACTGGAGCCTTCAAAACGCAAGAATTCAAATACACTTAACATGCCTGTTATGAATATCACAGGGGCCCTCAGTCCTCACGTAGAAGACACCGTCACCCTGAACGGGCGTCTTGACCCAACCAACTCCACCTGGATGAAGGTGAGATACCATGACTATTTTACGTTTCAAATGTTGTTTGCCGAAGGTCATCACATGGTATAAAGTGACCTCTTATTTTAATAGAGATGAACATAATATTCTTCTTTTGCGGTACAGTCCGACGTGAGCCTCGGCCTCCTCAATGACCCTCCGCCACCTGTTTCTGTCTCTTGCCACTACCCTCCAATTTCTGCATCCCAACACTCTTGCGTCCTCCTCCACTCCGTCAACTCATCTGAGCTTCGGGCGACCCCTGTGTCTTTGTCCTCAGGGATTGCTGTCAATGATTTTCTTTGGTGGATCACTGTCTTCCATCCTAGCAACATGCCCTGCAACCTTAGTCTAGCGGATCTAATAATACTCGTCACGCCAAGTTCCTTGTAGATTAAATACAATTCTGCATTGTATCTCCTCTGCCATTGATCGTTTTCACTCTCTGGCCCAATTATTCTTCGTAGATGAACAAATTATTATCAGGATTAAATTGCCTACATGAAAGCAGTTCTGATCTTCTTCTTCTTCTTCTATGGCTCTCCGGTCCGTGTTCAGTCCATGGCCTCCTCAATTCTCCTCTTCCATTTGGTCCTCTGTTAGGTCCGAGGCTCTGATCGAGGTCTCGAAACATCTTCCTTTTTACGGTGCGAGGTTGTTAGCCTTGCGACCAACCCCCAACCTGGAGGACCAGGGTACCTGTCTTAGTCTGATCTCTCCCCCTCGACCAATCTGGCTAGGGAGGCCCTACCAGTAGCTCTTGGGGTCTCTGAGGTACTCAAGCCCCACCACCACGACCAGGTGCAGGTACCATTAAGTGGGGATTAGTTCTGATCTTCATTATAATTTGTCTTGTATCTCAAAATTTTGCTGTACCTGTTACTATTTATCAAATGTTAATAATGATAATCCGTGGCGTAACAGCCCTCTGAGAGCCAAATCGGACTAGCTGGCTGCCTTAGCAGAGGTGAACGATCATACAACCACATATAGGATGACGTGTGGTCAGCACGACGAACCCCCAGCCATTGCTAGTTCTCATGATTGGCTCAAATGAGAATGAGCGATTTAATAAATCTTTGTGATAGAAAGCTGCTGGTCAGTCATAAACTCTGTGTTCATGTTTTAAAAGTATGATATTACGGTACATAGC